ACCACTGCCGACATCTGGAAAACTCTTGCCTTCACCTATGCGAAGCCCAACAGAGGACACATCAAACAACTCAAGCAACAACTTAAACAGTTTTCAAAAGGTGACAAAACAGTTGATGTCTACGTTCAAGGACTCGTCACACGGTTCGATCAACTAGCACTATTAGGAAAACCAGTGGATCCCGAAGATCAGATTGAATACATTTTGGAGGGTTTACCTGAAGATTACAAAGCTGTCGTTGATCAGATTGAAGGTCGTGATACACCGCCGTCGATCACAGAAGTGCACGAGAAGCTCTTAACAAGAGAAGCCAAACTGCTCGCCACCACCATCTCCATTCACCCAAGTGCCCCTATCTCTGCTAACGTTGCAAACACTCGCCCTCGTTCATATCAAGGCAAGCACCTGAATTCATGTCCTGCGCAACAATGGAACAATGGGTCGACAAGCAACCACTCCATCCAAAGTAATCAGACACCAAGAGGATATCAGGGTCGTTTCCAGCTCTGCGGAGTCCAAGGACACAGTGCCAAGCGATGTCCTCACCTACACAACCCCTCCGCAGTCATCAACAACAATATGATGCAGCAATCTCCTCGGCCATGGCAACCACGAGCGAACTTTGCTATTGGAACTACAAGCCCTGCAGACACTTGGCTCTTAGATAGCGGTGCTACACACCACCTAACTAATGAGCTGGGCAACTTTGCGATGCACCAGCCGTACAAAGGCGACGACGCTGTTCTTATTGGTGATGGCTCTGGCCTGTCCATAATGCATACTGGTTCACTTTCTTTACCCTCTATCTCCAAGCCTTTAACCTTAAATAATGTCTTTTGTGTCCCAAATATTCAAAAGAATCTCATATCGGTATACAGGTTATGTAATGCTAACAAAGTTTCTGTTGAATTCTTCCCTGCACACTTTCAGGTGAATGATCTTCACTCGAGTATCCCGTTAATCCAAGGCAAGACCAAGGATGAGCTTTACGAGTGGCCTGTTTTAATCTCCACCCTCCACTCCTTCTTCGCATCCACTTCCCCAAAAATAAGCCTTGTTGATTGGCACAATCGACTTGGTCACCCTTCTTCCACAATTCTCAAAAAGCTTGTTTCTTCGTTTTTACTTTCTTGTTTGCAATCTGTAACACCAAACACTCTCTGTTCTGATTGCTCAATCAATAAAACCCATAAACTTCCATTTTCACAATCTACCATTATCTCAAATCGCCCTTTACAATACATTTTCACAGATGTCTAGACATCTCCAGTCATTTCTGTTGACAATTTTAAATATTATCTCATCCTCATCGATCACTATACTAGATATACCTGGCTATATCCTCTCAAAACAAAAGCCCAAGTCAAAGAAACCTTCATACCTTTCAAGGCGCTTGTTGAGAATTGCTTCAACACCAAGATCGGCACTCTATACTCTGACAACGGTGGAGAATTTGTTGCTTTTCGCCAATTCCTTGCTACCTCAGGCATCTCTCACTTCACCTCTCCACCTCACACGCCGGAACACAATGGCCTCTCTGAACGCAAGCATCGCCATGTCGTAGAAACTGGAATGCCCAAGATGTACTGGTCCTATGCATTTGCCGCAGCCACATATCTCATTAATCGGATGCCAACGCCAGTCATCGCTATGGAATCCCCGTACCAGAAACTCTTTGGCACTCCACCGAATTACACCAAACTACGGACCTTTAGCTGCTTATGCTTTCCTTGGTTCAGACCATACACAAGCCATAAACTTGAAGATCGCTCAACGCCGTGTGTGTTCCTTGGGTACTCACCAACGCAAAGCGCATATCTCTGCCTCCAACCCACCTCCGGTCGGACCTACATATCCAGGCATATACAATTCGATGAAAACAGCTTCCCTTTCCACAAAAAGCCCACAGATCAAACACAAATCCCTCCTCAAATGTCCAACTCCGATTCCCCAATCAATACTGTGCCTCTTCCAGCACCACTCGTACAGCTTCCACAGGGACCACCAAGCTCGGATCCTCATCTGCCAGTGTCGCCGGTGACTTCCGACGATGATTCGTCAATTCACAGAGACGATACCGAGCAAAGCCAAACAACCCCAACAAACACCTCACCACCACATATTAACTCCGACCCAATTCTCCCAAGCCCAGAACAAAACACTACCTCTGACCCAACAACCCCATCAAGCCCAGCACAAATCAATCCTTCTAACCCAATAAACACTTCAAGCCCACCAATCCCCTAAGCCCAAACCTCACCTCCCACAAATGAATCCCACACAAACCCATTATCAACCTCCTCCTCGGATCCCGTCGAACCTGAACTCTCTCCTCTCCACAACAATCACCAAATGCAGACTCGACGGAAAAACCTGATTGCCAAGAAAAACCCAAAATATCACCCACCCAAGAAAACCTCCAAATACAACCTCTCCATAAATCTTTCCAACCAAACCCCACCCGAACCACAAACCGTGAATCAGGCGTTAAAGGACAAGCAATGGAGACAAGACATGTCGTCTGAAATTGATGCTTTTACAACAAATCGGACCTTAGAACTTGTTCCCCGACAACCTCACTATAACGTCATCGGCTGTAAGTGGCTCTTCAAAAATAAATACTTACCCAATGGATCTCTTCACAGGTGCAAAGCACGGCTAGTTGCTAAAGGCTACAAGCAGGAATTTGGTCGTGATTACACAGATACTTTCAGCCCAGTCGTCAAAGCGACCACTCTACGACTTGTGCTTGACGTTGCGGTGTCCCGAGCATGGCCAATTCAGCAGCTCGATGTCAATAATGCATTCTTACAAGGTACACTTACTGATGAAGTCTATATGGAACAGCCTCTTGGATTCATTGATAGTGACAATCCGACTCATGTTTGTCGATTGCACAAGGCTATATATGGGTTAAAACAGGCACCAAGGGCCTGGTATATATAATTGAGAACGTTCCTCCTCAGCTTAGGATTCACGAACTCATTGGCGGATACATCCCTTTTTGTTCTACGGAATGGTCCTCACTTCACTTACCTCCTTGTTTATGTTGATGATATTCTAGTCACAGGAAGCAACAACAAGGACATTCAGAAAATCCTCTATCTACTAGCTGAGCGGTTCTCGGTTAAAGACCCAGAAGATCTTAACTACTTTCTTGGTCTTGAGGCACATCGTACAGCAAAGGGACTTCATATGTCACAACGCAAGTACATATTGGACTTACTCCTGCGGTACAATATGATTAATGCTAAGCCGGTCAGCACACCAATGATGTCCTCGCCCAAACTCAGTCTCATGTCTGGTATGCCTCTTGATGACCCTACTCAGTATCGTCAACTTGTGGGAAGCTTGCAATACCTTGCTTTTACAAGACCAGATATTGCATATGCGGTCAATAGACTATCCCAGCTTATGCACAAACCCACTGAAGACCACTGGCAAGCAGCTAAACGAGTCCTCAGGTACCTCGCAGGGACAGCAGAACACGGCATTTTCTTCTCTGCAACAAATGCGCTTAATCTTCATGCGTACTCAGATGCTGACTGGACTGGTGACTCCGATGACTTTGTCTCCACTAATGCCTACATTTTATATCTTGGCAACAACCCGGTATCCTGGTCAGCTAAGAAACAAAAAGGAGTGGCAAGGTCTTCCACTGAAGCAGAATATCGGGCCGTTGCAAACGCCGCTGCAGAAATAAGCTGGGTCTGCAACTTACTCACAGAACTAGGCATTACACTTCAACAGTCCCCAGTTGTGTACTGCGATAACATTGGCGCCACTTTTTTGTGTGCAAATCCCGTCTTCCATTCCAGGATAAAACATGTAGCTCTCGACTATCACTTCATCAGAGGTCACATTCAACAAGGAGCCTTGCGTGTCGTATATGTTTCTACAAAAGATCAGCTTGCGGATGCACTTACCAAACCATTATCTCGTGCACGTTTTATCGATCTACGAGGCAAGATTGGAGTGACCACTGCCCCTCCATCTTGAGGGGGCGTGTCAACGATACCAAGAGATACTCAATTACTACACAATATTTGATCACTCTGTTTATAGAAACTTCAGTATTCTAGACAATTCTACTCTCTGTGTATATTGTTATGTAACTTTGTGTAAATGATAAGACAACATTCTTACATGTAATTCGTTTTTAAATTTTTTTTTTTTGCTTCAGTTTTTTTTTTAAGAATTTAGTAAGGATGGAAGTTTTTTTTGTGGTCAGAATTCGAAGAAGTTTTGATTAATAAATTATTTAATAAAATGATTTTAAATTATTAGTTGAAAAAGATAACATAACAGTTTTAAAGTCTACCATTTACTAATTATTTTTACTGATGTGACAGCTCTTAGAAGTCTTGAAATTTTTCCCTTTTATATAATTATAAAAGAGATTAAATATGCTAGACAATACGTTTGTCAACCAATAAAAAGACATATAATCTTGATCTGCCACACAACTTGGTGCCAGAAATGTCCAAAAAGTCTTTAATGACCAACTGACCAAGCAATATATAAATCCATAGGACCATATCTCCGACACTCCGACTGTCTAAACATTAAGTGTCTCTCCAAATTCTCTCAGCCACACTTTTCAGATTATTTAACTTATTACTTTTTTGGACAACGAGTTGTTGTTTTGTGGTAAGTCCAAAACTATCATTGATATTTTTTTGTTCTTTAGGAATAATCTGTTCATCTATTACTCCAATTTTGGTGTACATAATTGCGAATAATGCAAGTTTTAGGTCCAGCTCTGAACCACTCATTTCCTATCCCAAAAAAAGGCAAAAATACCAAATAACTCAAATATCTAAAAATTCATATCCCAACAAAAAAGTAAATTAGAAAGAAATATAAACTAATCTTTTGCAGAAAACAAAACAAAACATAAAAACTAATTAATCTTCACCAATGGTTAACCTCGCGTCTAACAGCGGGTGTGTGTATAAATGGACACAAATGCAATATGATTTTGACGTTAAGTACATACGTTTGATCCATAGGGTTATATTGCAACAACCAGGATATATATAACTGGTGTCCAAAGCATAAATGTTGTTTAGAACTGCACATACACAGCTTCACAGAAATTAAGATATTCATAAAACAAAAATATAAAAAAAAAAAAAAAATCACACAATACTTGACGTTCTAATTGGCTTTTCTGGCCAAATTGATGATCCATCCAAGGATCATTAATATCGTTTTATGTTTTTCTCTCTTAAAAAAAAAGGTTTGCGTACTCATCAATCACATCGTCTTTATTGTTTCATCAATTATTAGAAGCATCAAGCATCCGATCGAATGCATGTTACTTCCTAATTAACGAAACGAAGAAATTAACAGTTGGTTTGTTGCGCAAAGTATCGTAACGTTGGGCTAAATGGTAGGTATACTTGTCGAACAGACGATCAATAATGGCGTCTCCAAAATGAGCAGCAAGCATCGGTTCAACGAGGGATCTTATGAATTTGGCCCTCTTACTAGCGGCTTCAAATGCACGTGGTTGGTCCACACCATCATCATCTTTCACTTCAGTACGACCAGTTTTGTATGAAAAGAGAAGACCAAAAATTGTCTCAAAATTGTTGATCTCAAAAGAGCCTTCGTTTGCGATTACTTCCTTCACCTCATTTTCGTCTGGATTGTAAAACGGCAAGTTGAAAGATTCTACATCTGATTCCTTTAAAATCCCCTGCACGCAAAAAAATTACCCCAAAGTCTTATTATAACTATGTGATCACAGGAGTAGAGCATTCACATAAACTTAGAAGAGATATCAAAACTAGTACCTCAGAAACCAAGTCGAGGAGGGCATCAGTTAACAACGACCAATTTTGGAAACAATCTCTGGATAGAGGATCCAAAGCCTTTCTGCCCACTAAAGTGAGAGCCATGCGTCCATTAGGCACTGTCTCTTCCGCACGCATTCTTAGAAACAATGAGAAATCATTCTTGAACTGAGCCAAATAACTCTTGTACACATTTGGAGGGCATGGACTTCTAAGATACACGTTCGTCTTGTTTTCCTCAAGCCCATCAGGAACTTTTGAGAGCCAATGGAGACTAAAAGATGAATGAACAAAATGAAGAGACTTGCTTGGGAAAAGTCTAGAGTAGAATGAGCCTGGGACTCCCGAGACGAAACACATTTCTTTAACATCCATCTTCAGCTTCTCGTGGAAAGAAGGGATCAATTTGAAAGTAGTGTTGAAGTCGTTATCTGGAAGATCGTTCAGACAACAATCTATCTCTGGTGGGTTTTGTCCTTTTTGTTGGTATGATGCTATGATCGTGTTGACGATTTCGGACATGACCAAGAACGTGTTTTCCCCGGAAGAACATCCCAAGTCTGCCACTTTGATGCAACCAGGAAAACCCATCTCCACTATCATTTCCTTTACATCTTCTGCCACCGCCAGTTTTGCATCGGAATTAATACTTTTCTGAAGTTAAAATTAAACTTATTTATATATGTAACATGAAAAACCTTTGAACCAAAAAAAGAAAAAAAAAAAGCCCATGATGCCTAAAAAGGAGAGACAAACAAAAAAATGCATACTTATATAATCTAACATTGGCATCTACTTTAATTTGCTACATATATATGTGTGTGTGTTTTTTTGACCAAACATATATATGTGTTTGCCAAAGCATATATGGTTCATATGTAGCAAAATTAGATTTGTCTTACCACTAATAAAGAAGTACACTTACCTGCGCCTCAGAATTATTTGCATAACTGTGTTCTCCATCTCCACCCTTCATGCTAAGAACACCCATGATAGAGCCCCTAATGTATACAACACAAGTTGATTTGGTAAGTTGTAAAGAAATAAGCATAAGAGGGTTGCAAAGTAAATATGACCTTGAGGAAGACATGATATATGGAAAAATCTATGAGTTTTGTTTTTGTTTTCCTAGATAGCCGATGGAGAATGGCTAGATTTATCCATGTTTTAAAAATAAAATATTTGTCACTGTCATAGATTTTATGAATTTTCACTTCAACTAAAAAAAAATATAAAACGAATATAATTATTATATTTAACGCCATCACTATGTGTATATATGAAAACATAACTGAAAGGGATACATTCGGGCAACCTTTTCCCAAACTATTTTCACAAGAAATAAAATGAGGAAGAAGAGAAATTTTTGAAATAATGCATACTATTATTTTATATTCAAATGAAACGTATTTGTTTTTTTATCAATGCATGAATACATCTTCTACCTATTAATTGAGAATGTGGTTTAATGAAAAATATTGATTTATTTTAATTTGATTGGTTAAAATTATTTGTCTACCCTATTTAAATGTGACATAGAAATGATGATGTGTAATAATGATGTAATTGTAACATGGCATTTATTAACACATGTGGTTGATGACATGGCAAAAAGAATTTTTATGATATTTTCATAAATAAAAAAATTAATTAGATAACAAAATTTAATTTACTAATAACTAAATCTGGAATGATTCGCCGGATGTACTACGAATGGCCTGATATTATTATTCATCTATATGGGTAATAGTAGATAAATTTTGGGCTGAACGTGATGATTTTAATATATATATATATATTATATACCTATAAAATTTACTATAGCTCTGTCGTGGACCACTGTAACTTTCCACATATACACATATCTACATATATATTATAATATTATATTCATATGGAATACATGCACATATGTTTTCACATAGTTTAGTTGGAAAAATTATAATAACAAAATAAGATATTATTGTGATCTTCTGTAGAATATTCAAAATTTAAAATTAGTTTAGTTTAAAAATAATAACAAATATAAATATACGATTTCGATTTAATAATTCTCTACTTTATATTTCTTAACAAATATTAAATATCCTAAAAAATCAACGTGAATCTAATGAAAAACCAAAATTATAATCCTCTACATTATTAAAAAAGTTTAATGTCCATTTAATAAAATCCAAAAGATCCATATAAAATCATGTTCATCCCAAATAACTATGTAATAAAAAAAATTACATACTCGGGTCCTTATATAAAAAAACATCAAAATATACATGAGTATCAAACAAATCAAACCCTAACTCAAAGTGCGGACATAACAATTCTACCAATCCATTTACCTAAATTGAATATAGCTAAAATGAAACTTGAAGGTTGGATAGACTCCAATCATGAGTGTAATGAAGCAAGGTTTTATCGCTACACTGAATTTCCAAAAAAATGGATTTTGCATCAAAAAATTAAGAAGTGGCTCCCTCGTCTGCGCAACAGAAAAAATAATGTTTCCTACGATATCAGCGTTCCCGAAGTTTAAAAATAATATAGTGAGCTTTTCTGTTGCTAAATGTTCAAAGAGGACCAGTATACTTCAAAGATATCAGGACAGTAAACGGAGTTTTATATATAACCTTTGCTGAAACATGTCTTGCAATAGGGTTAGTTGAAGCACTTGATGCTTAAGTGGATATGGTCTTGCAATTATTTGTAGAGTCCACTTGATAAAATTATAAGTAGAAAAAATCACACATATGAGTAGATCGAGACCAACAATGAGGGAATCCTTGAAGAAATAATGCTTTAATTAAAGAAGATTATAGGAAGACAAAGAAAATGAAAAATGTTTGTTCAAATAAAAAAAGACAGAGAAGATAAAATTTGCAGGCTAATCCGCAAATCTGAAGAAAATAACCAACTATCCACGGGTTTGACCCATTTGACCTTTTAACATAGCGGGTCATGTTTTACAAAACCTGTTCATTGAAAAATAATTTTTGTGTTTTCCAAATTTAATTACTCAAAATATAAATGAATTTTTTATTATAATAAAATGTTTAGTTAAAATTAGGGGATTCTTGCAAAAATGACCTAAAATTTGATTTGAATTGCAAATCTAACCCACAAAAATCACTTTCCCAACATTTGCCATTTTGTGTCCAAACAATCCTTCATAGTTTCAGTTATTCACGAAATTGCCATTATTTTTAATTAATTTCTTTTATTTTCGGAAATCTAAATGACCAACTAATCCTCATCTTCCTCACTTATTTACGAAAATACTCCAAAAGTAGACTTCTCTCGGTCCGAATGAAGTCTACTAGTCAACGCCCAGGTTAGTTTTGCAATTGACCGCATGAAAAAGTAGACTTCTTTTGGTCTGAATGAAGTCTACTCAATTTCCTTTGATAACAACAAAAATAGAGTAGACTACTCGAGTAGACTTCTTTAGAAGCAGGTCATTTTTGCAATTGACCAACCTTTGACTTTGTAGAGTAGACTTCTCTATGCAAAGTAGACTTCTCCGAGAAGTCTACTTTTGCAAGTAGACTTCTCGCAGATTATTTTTGCAATTGAAAAATATTTGACTTTTTGGTCAATTGCAAAAATGACCTGCGAGAAGTCTACTTATGGAAGTAGACTTCTCAGAGAAGTCTATTTTTCAGGGTAGACTTCTCGGAGAAGTCTACTTTTGCAAGTAGACTTCTCGCAGGTCATTTTTGCAATTGACCAAAAAGTCAAATATTTTTCAATTGCAAAAATGACCTGCGAGAAGTCTACTATGAAAAGTAGACTTCTCTGAGAAGTCTACTTTCGTAAGTAGACTTCTTGCAGGTCATTTTTGCAATTGACCAAAAAGTCAAATATTTTGCAATTGCAAAAATGACCTGCGAGAAGTCTACTTTTCATAGAGAAGTCTACTAATATTTTAGCAATGGCAAAACTAACCTGCGAGAAGTCTACTTTTATCCGAGAAGTCTACTTTTCTTGTTTTTAAAAAAAAAATCATTTTTATACAATATATAACGAATTTTTAAGATTTTCGTGATCCTAAGCTTCTGTTATTAAGTTTTCTTGCTTATGTATTAGTTTTGCATGTTTATATTTTATAGGTATAGTCGAATGAGTTTTCATGTTTTATATGATACTTAGCTTATTAAGAGTAGACTTCTTAGTCTACTGTAGAAGTCTACTATGTAGACTTCATCCGACTTTCAGAGAAGTCTACTTATGCAATTTTGATGTCTAATGTGGTTTGGATTTTGTTCTTTTTTCACAGAGAATGGCTCACATACCCACTGTTTATGGAGAATGGGTTAAGAGTGAATCAGTGTGGCAGTTCGAGGTGGATAATAGCAAAGGAGGGTGAATGTTGTTCTTAAGAGATGGTTGCACACATGGTGAGCTTCTTGGTGAATGTTGGCAAAGGAGATGAATAGCAAAGGAGGGCGAATGTTGTCACCTTTAAGTTATGTAAAATTAATGTTTTTAAGAAGTCTACTCGAGACAATGAGAAGTCTACTTCAGAAGTCTACTCGAGACAAGAGAAGTCTACTCGGTTGACAAGTTATATGATATAAATGAGAGAAATGTCCCTCTGAATCACTTTTAAGTTATGTAAAATTAATGTCTTTTAGAAGTCTACTCGAGACAGGAGAAGTCTACTCGAGACAAGAGAAGTCTACTCGGTTGACAAGTTATATGATATAAATGAGAGAAATGTCCCTCTGAATCACTTTTAAGTTATGTAAAATTAATGTCTTTTAGAAGTCTACTCGAGACAGGAGAAGTCTACTCGAGACAAGAGAAGTCTACTCGGTTGACAAGTTATATGATATAAATGGGAGAAATGTCCCTCTGAATCACTTAAATTAATGTCTTTAAGAAGTCTACTCGAGACAGGAGAAGTCTATTTTGTAAAATAGATAAACATAGATAATTTAGGAATTTGATACAAAACATTCAATGCAATTCAACATTACATAGAAAATAACCCTCTAAACAAACAAACATTTAAGGATCACTAATTATAAATCTTAAAATTGGCATAAGAAATGACTAGTAAACTAAAATCTCTGAAAACTATGTATGCAACTGAAGTCTGCTTGAGAAGTCTGCTCGAGATCGAGAAGTCTACTCGAGAAGTTTGCTCAAGATCGAGAAGTCTACTCGAGAAGTCTGCTCGAGATCGAGAAGTCTACTCGAGAAGTTTACATTCAGATCTGCAAAAAAATCAACAAAATTCAGCTCTGCAACAATAACGAAAAAATTAGATCTAGAACAAAATCTATAAAATTTATACAACAATAAACTCAGATCTACAAATATAAACTTAGATCTACAACAATAAGCTCAAATCTAAACTAATAAGCTCGGATCTATAATAATAATCTACTATATTTATAACATTCAGATCTGTACAAAAATCAACAAAATTCAGCTCTGCAAGAATAACAAATTAACAAAATCTACAAAATTTACACAACAATAAACTCAGATCTGCAAAAATAAACTTAGATCTACAACAATAAGCTCAAATCTATAATAATAATCTCAGATTTGCAATATGAACACAAAGCAAATAAAAAGAGGAACACAAAAGCTCAGATTTGCTTACCACTACCATAACCTGCAAGTGAGAGGAGGTTGAATGCAAGATAGAGAGGATGGAGAGGATATTGATAGCAAGAGAGGAAGGAGAAGAAATTCATGGCCAGAGAGAAGGGAGAAGAGAGAGAGAGGCGTTTTTTAGATAGAGAGAGACTTTGTTGTTAATACAATTAGGTTAAACTCTCCTTATATATGTAGGAAAAAAATCGTGTAAGTAGACTTCTCCAAGAAGTCTACTCGAGAAGTCTACTCGAGAAACCGAGAAGTCTACTCGAGAAGTCTCTTAGTATTGATTTTTATCCTAATTTATCTATGATGATTTAAATTGATTATTTTCTGTCAAATTTTATTTTTAATAGGTGTAAAAAGTATATATTTGTTGTTATGTATCTAATTTTTTTTATTAAATTATCTTTTATGATTTTTAAAATTAATTGTAAACATATTATTAAAGAGTAGACTTCTTGGAGAAGTCTACTCGAGAAGTCTACTTAACTTCTCGAGTAGACTTCTCTGGGATAAAATAGTA